GTATACTGCGTTCATGGATTGAGAGACTCAAATGCAAATCCCCAACAATAAAGATTTGAAGACTTAATACTCTATCTGGCTGAACTCTTTCATATTGTAAAATGTATGTGGAAAGACAAGTGACTTGTAATAGAACATAAAACAAAAACGAAAAACCCAAAACAACAATAACAAAAATGTGGTCTCACTATGTAGTCCTGGCTGGTCTAGAACTCAAAAGAAATCCAATTGCCTCCATTTCCTCTAAAGATATATACATCACCACACCCAGCCCGCCCCTCCCAAAAACAACTTTTAAAGAGGAAAACAAAATGAGATTTACTCTACCTAATTTTAAGTTTAAGGCATGATGGTGCACTTCTGTAACCTACTGGGGAGGCCAAAACAGTCAAGACAGGCAGATATCTGAGGTTTGTTGGCCAGCCACCTAAATCTAACCAACAAGCCCAAGGTCCCAGTGAGAGACTCTCACAAAAACAGGGTGGATAGCTCCTGAGGAATGATAGCTGAGCCTGACCTCTAGCTTCCACATGCAGGCAGACATGTGTGTACATGTATACCTGCACCAATGTACATGCACACATACTCATGAAAAATAAAACCACTGCAAAATGTAATCACTTTTTTTTTTTTGTCAAACCAAGTGTGATAGTAGAGAAGAGTATGTTGCTTGTCCAACACAAGGGTGATGAGTCTTTTCCCTTCCTTCTACCAGGGAAACAGTAGAGTTTTAGAAAATCTGAGAAGCTGAAGAGAATTTTCTAAATCAAACTATAAATTTGTGGGGGGGGAAAGGATGAAGGCTACTTACTTAAGTTAGACCATGTAGAACTTTGTCCTAAATAACCTCACAAATATCATTTGCTGTTACAAACACTATGGAGCAGGAAGGAAAAAGAAACTGGATGGGAAAAGAGTTATGAAGATTCTATAAATTGTGTTACTCAGGAATATGAGCTAATCAGAAGCAGGGGCCGCCTGGCAAGTGTCAAGTCACTGCCTGACAATTGAAGGAATCTGCTTGCAGGTCTACCCTGCCATTCACCCCGGGAAGCATCACTGCCACTGTAGTCAGTATAAAGGGAACTCCTGAACTTAAGTAGCAAATGGTGAACAGCCCAACAAAGAAGACTTGCTCAAATAGATGTGTAAATGTTTCTAAGATACTACAGAAACACTAAATATCCAAGTTGGCACTGTTCCCTTTCCAGGAAAGCAAAAAGACCTGTAAATGGAAAAGTTCAATGATGCCTCTGTCAGCAGCATCCCAAGGTTGTATTGGTGCTGGGGTTGGAAGGGAGGCACAGCAGGTCATATTTGACACCACGTGGACATTCTTTCATTCCTACCAATTAGAGTCCCACAAAGTTGTCATGCAAATCGGTGTGGCACAGCATTCCAGTTCAAAATCTTTGCATAAATGTGCTCAGGATGCCTTGTCTAAATCCTTCAGCATGTACTAGTTTATATTCAAATGGCCTGCATGAATTCTCTTTCCTTACAATCCCTATACATATTCATGAGAAACACCATCAGCATAGAATGATAGCCAAGCAGAAAGAGAAAAACCCCTTTATACCAAGGAGACAATTTCCCTGGTTAATGCAATCAGACCATGCAACTGAATTCCCTGTTAATCTGAATTCATATCAAGTAGCTAATGAGCTTTTGTCACTTCCGTGATAAAAATTGGATACTTGCAAAATGAGATTCCGACAGGTCACATAAATTTATTTTTGCAGTAATCATTTAGAGCAGAAGAAGGCTTTTCAAAAAGCCATTCAGTTGGCATTCGATCACGATGAACAAGATAAACCTGATTTCTTAAATCATATTTCATAAACCTGATTTCTAAAATTGTATTTGACAAACCTGATTTCTAAACTCACATTGCATCATGTTTTACTAGGCCTCATGTAAGTAGCAGGCAATGTCTGCTTAGTAATTATTGCTCTTTTTCTTAATTTTTAGATTTACTGGGAAAGCTGTGAACATAACTTGCCAATACACTTACTTACCAAGACTGATTTTAAAGCCAAATTACCTTGTTGCTTAAGAGTGAATGACAAGAGGAAATAGAAGAGAGAGATTAGTGCCCCTTTGTTTTTAGAATGAAGATGGGTGACTTGTGGCATCAGTAGGATTGCTCACACTCACCATGAGATTCAACAAGGAAGCCGGGCTGAAGAAACAGATGCCTAAGCCTGAGTTCTGGAAGTTCAGATTTTGGAGGACTGGAGGAGGCTAAGGAATGGATGTTATTAAAGGTACCTGAATGTATTTTAAGAACTAGCCAATTTTGGACTTTGTTTTATCAGGGAAGGAAAGCTTCTGGTGTTAAAATCAGGGTTGGGCTGGGGATACCAGTGTAGTTGGTAGGGGGCTTTCAAGCATGCATGGAGCCTGGGGGTCAATCCCCAACCATGCATAGTGACACACACTTTTTAATACCAGCACTCAGGAAGTGGGGGCAGAAGAACCTCGGAGGGAGTTCTAGGCCTGCCTGAGCTGTATAAAATTCTGTCTCAAACAAATATCAGGGTTGACAGCTCTTCAGTGTGTTCTCACTGGGGCCAATTTAATTCACTGGGGTTACATCTCCCCAGGTATACAAGCAGAATGCAAAGAACCAAAAATGAAAACGGCCTAAGTCCACAAACTCCATGAAGGTGGGGGAAGGTAGATTTGGGATGGTGCTCTGTCTCTGGCATCTAGCCCAATGTCTGGCACAGATCAACCTTTTCTCAGTATTGCTTGATCCATCCACCATTCCCATGAGCTGAAACATTACAGAATTCAAAGATAGGAAGTCATAAAGTAGTACATTTGGCCCATTATTTAGAAAATAATCATCATTCTCAAAATGAAAAAAAAAATACATCAAATGAAAAGGTCCTCCATCATTTTTGCTGCCCTCAGGGCTATGCATACCCAGTGAACTTTCAAAAGATGTGACTTGGGTAATTTCACTTTCTACTTTTCTCCAAGGGCTGTGATAGTGAAAGGTCATAAACTAGGGACTCTTAAAGTTTGGCTCACAGTACTAACTGCTCCATTGAGGAGACTTGAAGGTTTTGGGTGTAGCTCAATGATGAACCCTTACTTAGCATGCACAAAGCCCTGGGTTTGATATGCAGCCACAAAAGTAAATGGAGTCCAGAAAAGCCAGTGAGCTCTGTGGGAAACAGTGCAGAAGGATCTAAATTCTTTTGTTATGTGGACAGGAGTTCCATGCCCACCACAACATCTTAGGCATTTTTATAACAAAATGTATTCTCAAGTAACAAGTCCAGAACTGTCAGAGTTTCTACCATGTGAAAATTGTACAGAAATAAGTATTTTTTAATGGCTTATGGAGGGAAAAGAAACCTTGAAAACCCAGCTTTCAATACTTTGCATTTACTCCGAACAAGATATTCTTCTTGGTTTAAAATAGAACTAAGTCCCACTGTTTAAGCATGTCCTTCCATTATGTATCTAACTTAGGGAAGTGGTTTTCATACATGGTCCCCAGGCCAGTGGCATCATCATCACCTGGAAATTTGTTTCAAATGTGAATTCTTGAGTCATATCACACATCTTAATAACTGAGGATGTAAGGGCCCTCTGGACAATGAACATAAGAGAAAACTCTGACTTAAACAAGAAGGGGAAAAGTTCAGTGCTAGAGAGATGGCTCAGACATTTAGAGCACATGCTGCTCTTGTGAAGGACTTGGGTTTCATTCCCAGTGCCAATTTCAAGTGGTTCAAAACTGCCAGTAACCCCAGCTCCAGGGAAGCCAATGTCTCTGGCCTCTGTAGGCACCTGCACTCATGTATATGAACTTAAACAAAGACACACACACACACACACACACACACACACACACACACACACACACACACACACACACACACACACACAGGAGGGAGAGAGAGGAAGGAAGGGAGAAAGAGAAAAATAAAGACAATAAATAATAAATCTTAAAGAAGGCTGAATTCAACCTTCCAGACATCTCCTGCAGCTTATCTGAGACAACTACATCATGTTTTTAGTTAACTGCTCATCCATACATTCAACTAGCAAGCATACAAGCCACTCTGCATATTAATTAAGGCTAACTTTCTTTTTTTAAAAAGATCCTGAAATACTGATCCTGTAAGGAAATGTGTAAATCACTGACTTTCAGCAAATTCAAGCCTTCACTTCTCAATTTATTAAATAATATATAACTCAGTAAAATACAAATGTTTGATAATAGAAATATCATTACCAAATTTAAGATTAACAGTAAAATGTAAACAATAAAAAATAAGACTAAAGCTATGCAGTACAAAGGCACAACATTGCTTTTCTTAGTTATGTATGACATTCTAAGAAAAACACATCACAAAGTTATGGTTGTGTGTTCTAGGTAACAGTTTTTAGATACAGTGTTCTGCAGATCTTAAAACTGTGGTGTTCTGAACCAGACACCCTGAGAAGTGGGAGGTGTGACTTCAAGGCAGGCTTGAGGCTGGTGCTAATGAGCAGGACTGATCGGCCACTCCTGCAGCCCTCAGTCATGAGTTGAGGAACCTGGGAGGGAATATAAGTCTACACAATTATTGTATATTCTACACTGATCTATACCATGTGAGAATATTTTGCCCAAACACTAAAACTTATCCAAGCGGAAGAGGTTTGACTTAAAAGTGTATGTATGTATGTAGGTATGTATGTGTGTGTGTATGTATATGTACATATATACACAAATGACCTGACTATACATGTATGTATGTATGTATGTATATATACAATAAAAATCAAGAAATGGGAGCCAGGTATGATGTATTATACCTAAACTACCAGAACTTGAGAAGCTAAGACAGAAAGACTGGTATAAGTTCAAAGCCAGCGTGAGGGACAGAATAAGACCCTGTCTCAAAACACACACATACACACACACATACAGAGAGAGAGAAGAAAGTGAGAGTCTAGAGAGTGTGTGTCTAGAAAGTGTCTGTGTGTAATATCTCCTAGTCAGGAACACTAAACGGCAAGGTGCTGATGACCTCTCCAGACTCGGTGACAATGGCGTCATAAACCCAGCGCCGGTTGCATCGGCACTCAGGCCCGCACTTGTTGGAGTTGCACTTGGGACAAGGGTAGAAGCAGCCCAGGCAGTTCTTCTCCAGGCAGTCACACAGGTCCATGTCGTTACAGAGTAGCCTGCCGCTTTTGTCGTACTTCCTCATAACTCTGCAAAGAGAAAAAATGACATGCGATAGCCCTGCTGTCCCCACTGTGGTGAAGAGACTCCTGCACAGCTCCATCACGTGCATGGCCCTTTGACTCTCAGGGAACAGCATCCTGGAGGTTACCAGAAACAGCCCCCCCACCCCCCATACTGAATGGCAGTGATGACTTGGCACAGCCAGCCAGTATGTGCAGCCAGGCTTGTTGCTGAGAGCAACTTCATTGTCTGTGGTAATATACTGTGTTCCCTAATAAAATCTGCCTGAAGACCAGAAGACAGAACAAGCCACTAGATTGAACATAGCAGCCAGGCAGTGGTGGCACACACCTTTAATCCTAGCACTTGGGAGGCAGAGATCTGTCTGGATCTCTGTGAGTTCAAAGCCACCCTGGACTACACGAGATTGATTCGGTCTAGGAGAGTAAACAGAGCCAGGCAGTGGTGGCACACACCTTTAATCCCAGTACTGGGAAGCGCACAGGCTTTTAATCCCAGGAAGTGATGGCTGGGTAGAGAAAGATATGTAAGGTGTGAGGAGACAGGAACTAGAAGCCTTTTCTGGATGAGGAAGCTCATTTGGCTAGAGGCCTATCAGTTGAGGCCTTTTCAGGCTGAGGAGTCCTAGAGGTAAAAGGTGGCTTATTGCTTTGTCTCTCTGATCTTTAAGCATTTACCCCAATATCTGGCTCTGGGTTTTTTACTAAGACCATTTAGGAATTTGTGTTACAGTTGTCCAGCATTTCAGGGGCATATAATCATCCATCTAAGAACACTGGAATAGCTAACCAAAGCTTCCTGCTACAAAAGTTTTATATTTCCTTTAAAATAACATATTGATGGCATTTTTCTGTGGGGGCCTCTGTAGACACCATGGCCAGTATAGTGCTGATCTGTGTGAGGCAAGAAGAAAGTCTGATTCAATAATCTGTAGCCGGTGTTGGTTCAAACTTTCAAAGTCTGACACCAGGCAGTTTATTTTAGGCATATTTAAGGACAGGACAATTTGGAAAAAAGTTTCCTGGTGTAACATAATCCCATGTGCACAATACAGTTTAAGGCATAATTAACTACATTGGAACTCTTTTCAAAGTACATGTCACTTCTTCCATGAAGATGGGTTCTATAGATAGACTACATGTGTTATATTAAGGGCCTAGGGAGGATCTGGTGTGTTCTCTGTCATTGAGATAGTGCAAAGATCACTAGGCTATAAACCACCTCACAGTCCTGTTTATAAGGGTCTGCAGGGGCCAAGTGTGGCCTGGCCATACAGAGAGTGCAGAGGTCTCCAGGCTATTAACCACACCCACTCTCAGCCTTCTGAGTGGAAAACAGGTATACATGCCTTCCATCAAAGAGACAACCCTGCACGTTTAACAATCCTGCTTTCCCTAGTGCTTATCTGTGAGCGCAAGGACTTCATGCCCTCTACACTTTTCTACTAATTTTATAATCTTTTTCTCTCTGAAAAGTACTCTAGCAAAAACTACTACATTTATTAATGACTCAAGATGAGGACTATCAGTTACTACACCATAATCATTAAAGGGGAAAAAAAAAGAAACTATTGGCAAAGGTTCCACATGTCTTTTCTTCTGTTTCTTTATGACTATTCCCCCCCCCCCCTACTGTGGACAGAAAATGTAAATAACTGAGGTGGCACCAGTCTGCATTGTAAGGCCCTGGGGAAGGCAAAATGCTCAGTGCCAGAGGGCAGCACTTCAGACCTTAGGTCCCCACACTTTCTCTGTCCACCTCTGCAGCATGCCTGCAGTGAAAGACTTTTATAGGAACTTTACCACCCACTCAAAACCAAACCACTTTCAATATAACCTTCAAAACAGATCTGCTTGAAAACCTTGGGAGTAGCTTATATATCTTACCACTATGAGCTCCAATGACTGGCATTTCACTCATGCGATCACAGTGGGCTGTGGAATAATCCTTCTGTACACTGTGACTATGTACTACTCTCATTGGTTAATAAGAAGCTGACAGGCTGGAAGCCAGGCAAGAAGTATAGATGGGACAGCCAGATACAGAAGACTCCGGTAAGAGGAAGAATAGAGTCAGAGGAGTCATCAGCCAGACACTTGACGGAGCAGGAGATGAACGTGCCATGTTAATAAAGGTACTGGCACATGGTAGAGCATAAATAAGGAATATGGGTTAACTTAAATTGTAAAAGCTAGTTAGTAATAAGCCTGAGATACTGGCCAAGCATTTGTAATTAATGTAAGCCCCGGTGTGTTTATTTGAGAATGACTTCAAGACAGGAAAACTTCGCCTACAATAGTGGGTACCTCTGCATCCTTTGTCCCCAAGCCTAATACCTCCTCTCCTCCTGTTCAGTTGAAGTAATTCAGTTTCTTCCTTTCCCCCTTTCCTAGAAAAGTAAGAAAGGGTGAGGAACTGCCTCGTGATCACACATTAGCTGGAATGCCTTCTAATTAAGATATTTTTAAAATATATTTTAATTTATCAACATTTTGTTTATGGTTTAATATGTATACATGATTTTTAAAATTATTCATATATGGGGCTGGAGAGATAGCTCAGTGGTTAATTAAGAGCATATAGCCGGGCGGTGGTGGCGCATGCCTTTAATCCCAGCACTCGGGAGGCAGAGCCAGGCGGATCTCTGTGAGTTCGAGGCCAGCCTGGGCTACCAAGTGAGTTCCAGGAAAAGGCGCAAAGCTACACAGAGAAACCCTGTCTCGAAAAAAAACAAAAAAACAACAACAAAAAAAAGAGCATATACTGTTCTTCCACGGGACTGGAGTTCAATTCCCAGCATGCACCTAGGGTAGTTCACTACTACCGGTAAGTATATAGTGTCGGGGTATCTGATACCTCTGGGCTCTGTGGGCACCTGCACTCACACACTTAATTAAAAATAATACATATAAATCATTTGTGTGTGAGAGAGAAATTATAAAATAATTTTGTTGTAATGTCACTTTTCCTTAATGAGAATTCACTGAAATTTTATTTTAAAAGCAATTTTATAAGATCAGCATAAATCATACCATATTTTATACATAAAAATGAGAGGAAACTATAATCAGGATATATTATATGAGAAGAGAATCTATTTTCAATAAGAGGGAAAAATGAAAAAATAATAAACACCATCCTTCCTACACATCAAATTTTCAAACGTGTATGCTCAGTTTTCGCTCCTTCTGTTTCATATAAACCATTTAAAAATTTATGTGGATGTGTGAGTGCCATCTGTGTAGAGATCCCCTCCCTGCAAAACCAGAAAATGGGGTCAGAGTCCCTAGAGCTGGATTTGCAGGCAGCTGTGAGCTGCCCAAGGTGGGTGCTAAGTACCAGCTCAGGTGCTCTGGAAGAACAGGAAGTGTTCCTCACTGCTGAGCCATCCCTCCAGTTCCCTGCAGGGGAACATATTTTTTTCCCTTGTCATGCTGGAGTTGGAAGCTAGGGCCTTGCGCATGCTAGGCAAGTGTTCCATCACTGAAGAGTTACAACTTCAGGTATATTCCAATGTATTAATAGTCCTTATATTTATTTTTGAATATATATATATTTTGAATCTATCCCTATGGTTACATTATTTTTTCTTTTAATGATACTTCATTGTTATATTTAGTCAACTTTCCTACTAAAGGTATTTTTTTAGTACAAGGCCCTTAAAAAAAAAAAAAAGGTGATCTTTAATGTGAGACTTAGATTACCACCCACCCCCCAACCCAAACACATATACACAGTTTCCCAAAGCAACAAGCTGACTTTGAACTTGGAATCTTCCTGCCTCTGCATCCAAGTGCTGGCACTCTAGGTACAAGCCATCTTGCTCTCAACAACATTGCCTATTTCTTAAAGATGCTAACATCCAGACATATGGGATCTTAAGTGTACTACAGAAGAGATTTTTGAAATCACAAGATGTAACTTTCAATTACTTTGCTTTAAAATCAAGGAGAACACATGCGATTTTTAACCCCATAAATCAAATAGGTCATAACCTTACTTGTGCTTCCCAGAAAAATATTCATTCATTTTCGACATCCGTGCTTTTTTTTTCTGCTGCCTTGTTTCAGGGTTAAAATCCGCCACCTGTGGTCCAGGGTTTTGAAATGCCAAGCATTTCAACTGCCGTTCTATCTGTTGCTGTGAAATGAAGAAAATATTTAAGTAGTTTCATTCATTTTTCATTCTTTCAAAATAGGCTGCCTATAGCTCTTATCAAAAGAGCGTGGAAATGTGTTTGATTCATAAGGAAAAATCAACAGTTTAATCTGATTAAGTTTCTAGAGGCGATACATTCTCAAATTAGGCCATTCTTTCTAAATACAGGGTATAAAGTGCAGATAATGAAAATGTGGAAGAAATCAAGAGAGAACAGTAGACTTGTTTATACCTGTAAAACACCTGCCAGCCTTTCAAACCTGATGGGGACAAACACCAGAACTGGCTTTTTCCTGGGCATAAGGACACAGCAGTCGTGATCCTCCCTCAGCCACCACAGAAGCAGCTCATATACAATGTCAAAGCCGTGAGAAGCCGAGGCACACATCCTCCTCCTTGGCCAACTCCAGCCTCTGGAATGGGTCTCAAAACCATTGCCTGTCCTGGGCTGCACATGCCCTCAGGCTTGCACATAGACAGTGCCACTGAGGGTTCACTCTCAATTAAAGCCAGATTTGAGCAAGAAAAATCTTGCTAGGACTACTTTCTGGATGTTAGGGAAAACTCCCAAAAGTCTTTGTTGGGGAAACTTTTGTATTCAGAAATAAAACGGGGCCTGATTGTGAAGACAAGAAACAAGACCCTTCAACCAAGACATGATGACGTGAGACTGGAAAGATGGCACAGTGGTTAAGAGCTCTTGCAGACGATGGAGTTCGACTCCCAGCACCCACATGGCGGCTCACAGTCATCTGTAACTCCAGTTCCAAGGGTCCCAAGAGCCTCCTCTGGCCTTTGCAGGCACCAGGTATACACACACACACACACACACACACACACACACACACACACACACACACACACACAAACACTCACATATTCACAAAAATAAAAAGGTGACTCTTAGTTATTGCTATCATTGCTTGTTTCTTTGATACCAGTCCCACTCGACAGTAGGCCAGCCTAGAACTCACTATGGAACCCGGGCTGGCCTTGAACTTGTGGCAATCCTCCTGCTTCAGCCTCTCAAGGGCCGAGGTTACAAGTGTGTGTGTGCCCTAGCCAGTGTGAGGACATGTTCTAAGTATGTAACACATGTCACAGGAAAAGAAACATTCTTCTGAAGAAGTTCAGAAGAAAATAACCTGGGTAACCCAAAAGCACACTGGCCAAAGTCCACTGGAAATGTAATTCCTAAAAAACCAACAGGACACTTTCAATGTAACAGATAGGACTTTCGCAGCTTAGCTAGCTTAATAGTACTCTAGGTATCTACCTCGGATATTAGAAACATTTCCTTAAAGTGTCATCTTGATGGGGGTACACTGGTTTGTTTTATAGACATACCCTATGAAACAGCTCTACACTTGGGTATAGCTATGAAAGCCGTAAACCCAGCACTCTCTAGTCCTGCAAGAAGTTATATAGCAAGAAGCCAGGAACAAACAGCAGATGAGCCAGCTGCTGTTCAAGTCTTGTCTCTGCCAATCGTAAACTGTGTACATTGAACAAGTTCTTGCTTCTCTAAGCCTTAGCGGCTCGTTTTTGTAAAATAAGGTCATTACTATCTTGTGACAAGACTTGGGTGAGGTGCTATTGTAAAATAAGGTTATTACTATCTCGTGACAAGACTTGGGTGAGGTGCTATTGTAAAATAAGGCTATTACTATCTCGTGACAAGACTTGGGTGAGGTGATATACATAATGCATTTAGAACTATGACAGGGTTAAGAACAAAATGCAAATGTGTTAACTAAATAAAAGACCTGACTTATAGTGGTATTTGCTCTGCCCATGACCTTGGGTTATAGGGCCCGAAGGAGGCGGTGCTTCTTGCTGTCCTACTGTCCTACGTGACCCCTTAGGAGGAAAGGGAGAGGGGTCATGAGACCCTTCTCCCTGGTTCCTGCTTCCTGGCATGAGCCGACTGCCAGGTGGATTCGCTCCCGGTCAGAACAGAGGACGACTTCAGCTGTTTACTTGGTTCTGTATTCATGAGTGTATTTCCTCAATTTATACCCTAATAAATTCCCTAATAACCTTCAAGCAAACTCCCGTGGATATCTCGCTTTACTGACTAGATTCTTTTCAAATATTCCATTGTGAGGACAAGACTTCATTACATGGATCACTAGGCTAAAAGTAAGGAACACAAAGCAAAGAGGAAATTCGCCAGACAATGCCAAATGCTGAAGAGCAAAGTTTTCTCATGAGGTGCTGATGTCTGACCTGCCGTCACGTCCACAGCCATCTCAGACGCCCCATGCTAGAGGCTCAACCAATAACCCGGAATCATGAAACCTGCGTGCTATACCAGTTGCTTTTGTCCAATCTGACTGCTTTTCTCTGGAAACATTGGATTTGTGGATTCTTCTTGAGTGGAGCTGTTCTTATCGGACGGTTCGCTCATTTGGGCCACTAAAAAGGCAATGGGAAAGAAATGAAACATCAGTATCATACATGTCCGTGTTTCATTTTAGGATTTTCTTTTGATCTCCTTCCAAGCTGTCTTTACATTCAAAGCCAGACTACAGGGGAAAGTCCCTCTTAACCGCCTGCATCTTACTCCCCACAAACATTCTAATGATGTCTTTCCAAGTGCCCCGATGAGAAATCGCTCATACTTTTTACCATCCTCAGTATCATGGATGGCTCTGGAGCAGACAACACTGAAGACCAACCCTCTTGTTTAGGAAGAATAAATTATTCATTCTTTTCCCTTCATGCTTATTCTCTTGGGGTGGGGGTGGGAAGTAAGATATGCAAAGACCATACATACATCCCTAGTAACTGTAAAGCTTATATCCATTCTCATGGCTTCTGCTAGATCCAATTGGCTTAAGGGCATGTCTATGGGGATTATCTTGATTTTGTTAATTTGAAGCGAGAAGCCATCCATTATGGGTGGCACTACTCCCTAGGCAATAGATCCTGAGCCGTGAAAGAGGAAAGAAAGAAAAATGAGGGCAAGCATGCATACAGTCACTGCTGTCTCATCCTTGACTATGTATATAATGTGACCCTCAAGCTCCTGCCACTGTGACCTCCCTACAGTGATGAACAGACTCTATGTAACCTGGACCCGTAAGCTAAAGTAAAGCTTTTCTCCCCTAAACTACTTTTGTCAGATTATTTTATCACACAACAGAAAAATCCCGACCATGCCCCCACTCAAGCTTTCTGATGTATTTCTAATGCAACTTCAGCTAAATGCTAGTCATCGATTTTTTTTATAACAATCGGTTTCTAAAATGGCTGTGATTTAATTAAAACCACTTCAGCAACGCATCAGGATGTTGCTATGTGTGCATCATCTCTTTGCACCTATGTGGGAGACTGATCACAAACAATGTTGATCATATGTTCACGGTGCAGGGCTGGTCTGTGGCATTCCAGAAGAAAAGGCTACACTACAGAAGATACTTTCACAATCTCGGTTGCTTTCCTCATCTCTCAACAGTCACCAGGCTGATCACAGGTTATTTCTTCCAAAGGAACCCCGAGTTAACTCTGTTCGGTTGGTTTGGGCCATTTGGTATTAGCTCTTTGTTGGCTACAGAAGACCTGTCAGTGGGTCTTAGTTAAGGAAATGATGCTGAATTTTCTTTCCAATATATATTCGTCCTTTGCATTCTTTATTGGATAATCCATCTAAAACACAACAGGGACTACAATGTGACCAGTGGTAGTAGACATGGTGGCAATACATTACCCTTTACCAAGATGGCAGTTTGACTAACTTTTAGACAGGTTTCTTTCTGGAATTTCCTTCCATAGAGCACTTGCTTAAAAAATGAAAACCTGGCAATTAGAAACATGTCCTTCGCCCTTTGGCATCAGTCATTTCAGAACAGAACTGTCCTTCTCAAAGACCTGGAAACCATTCATCTGAAATGTAGTCATCAGGAAGCAGCATCTTTTCTTCCATTCTACATGAGCCAACAGGAGTCTAGCTTTGAACAAGGATAACTATCAAATGCAAGTGTCCCTGTCACTGAGAAAAACATCTGCAAACTCAGAACTTACTCATGGTCCTTAACACATCCTACTTTCCAGCATTCCTGTGTACCCCAAGTTTCCCAGTACTTTTCTAGTAGTATATCCCACTCACTAAGAACCCTTTCACCTTCTGCTTCAAGGGAGTTGAGTTCAAACTGAATTTTGGTGTTTTTTTTTTTCAGTAGACTTGAACAGTCTTCCTTGTATGTTTAAAAATGGCCTCCATGTTTGTCAACAAATGAATGGGTAATGTGGTATATATACACACGATGGAGTATTATCCATCCACAAAGAAGAATAAAAATGTGTCATTTACAGGGGGAAATGGGTGAAATTGCAGAACATAGAAAGACAAATATCAATAGGTAAGTAAAGAGAAGGAAGAAAAGCAAGAAGAATAGAAAAGAAGACATGACATGAAAGTAGATGAGAGAAGGATAAGGGAAGGGAGTCAGAGGAGAGAGAGCAGAAAAGAAAAAGGAAAAGGAAAAGGGTTAATAGATTGATCCATTATATAAATATCTAGAGAAATCCAACAGTAAAGTCCATTCATTTTACTATTAAAATAAGATTATTTTTAATGAGGAGGAAACTTAAGAGCAGAGGATTGCACTTACTGCAAAGCAATTTATTTCTTTGACACTCACATGCAAATTCAGATTTGTTCAAACAGAATGGCAGATTATTTTCCAACATGTGTGAAGACAAAAATCATGTGAAGCTATTTTAAAATCATAGAGTCCCTGCTGAGTCCAAGATCACCCAGAGTTATAAGAAAGAGTCCTCCTAACTGTATAATTATAAACTCTCTATTACAATCCCATTTTAGGGCATTATGGAAAATATCAGAAGAAAATGAGATATGTTTCCCTACCCAATCTGGTCATCTCACCTTAGAACTGATACCCATACTCTCTTTTCACTCCTGTTCATAGGACACACTCTAAGTATGTTTATGTCCCTAAATAAGAAGTGTTTATCTTATTTCTGCTGAAAGATCTTAGTGATTCCTCTCTGCTTCTATCCTATGTCCCTGGCATATCAGTGAAGGTCCCTCATTGCTGTCTCTAACAAGATGCCTAGGCTCAGCACCCAGCACCTGAGCCAACACTCACCTTCACTGCCTCAGCTGACTGTTCTCCCATCTCTCCCTTAACTGAAGCCTTTCACTTTGAGCCCTGGGTCCTCTCCAATCCAACATGCCATCCTGATTCACTACGATTCCTTTCTCTCTGGGCCTCCATTTGTGGGTGGTTGTTTTCACTCTTTGCTCTTACTCTTGGGGGGGTCCTGCCACCCAGCTCCCAAATCATATATGGACTCTTATTCTTACTTATATATAAATGCCTGGCCTTAGCTTGGCTAATTTCTAGCCAGCTTTTCTTAACTTATTCCATCTACCTTTTGCCTCTGGGCTTTTACACATTTCTCTATTCCTATATATCTTTTCTTTCCTTCTTATTCCATGTCTGACTATGTGGCTGGGTGGCCGGCCCCCTCTTTTCTTGCTCCTTGCTCCTTTCTTTCCAGATTTCTCCTCCTATTTATTCTCTCTGTCTGCCAGTCCTGCCTATTCTGCCTCTCTTGCCTAGCTATTGGCCATTCAGCTCTTTATAGACCAATCAGATGTTTTAGATGGGCAAAGTAACAAAGCTTCAAAGAGTTAAACAAATGCAACATAAAAGAATGCAACACATCTTGCATGATTAAACAAATGTTCCATGGCATAAACAAATATAACACATCTTAAATTAATATTCCATAATATTGATTAGGAGCTACTTATAAAGGATGTCCAAAAGAAACCCCAAACCCTCTATTTTCTTTACATAATAAATATTCTTCCTCAAAGGAAAGATTTTTAAAAGATGTTTCCATAGGCAAGAGCTTTTCCTGAAATACTATGGAATTTAAAGTGCACAGAGCTAATTGATTTCTTATGAAACTCCTTCACTCAAAGCACTTTTGCTGAAGTCACTCATGAAATTTGGGTTCCCATGAATACTCTAGGGGGCAAGGTTGCTCTTTTGAGGTCTTATTTTCATTTTGTTGCTGTGATAAAATACTCTGACAAAAGCAACTTAGGGGAGAAGGGGTTTATTTTTAGCACACAGGTCCAGGTTAGATACTGTCTATTAATGCTGGGAAATCAGTTACAGGAGCTTGAGACACTGTATCCATAATAAAAGACAATGAAACAGGAATGAAGTGTGCAAGTCTGCCCTCATTTTTCTCTCCCCTTTTACAGTTCAGAATCCCTTCCCTAGGGAATGGTGTCACCCATAATGGGCAGCCCTCTCACTTCAACTAACACAATCAAGGTAATCCTCCACAAAGCATGCTCACAGGCCAACCTGATCTAAACAGCTTCTCACTGAGATTCTCTCCCTGGGTGATTCCAGAGTGTGTCAAGTTAAACTGATTAAATTAAAACTAATCATTACGTGTGCCAGATAAATAAAAATGGAATTATAATACAATTCCACCAGGCACTAAATTGTAATTGGCCATTATTACCAGCCCAAAACATTTGTCCCAGGAAAGTACTAAAATAGTTAGAACTAACTCTTTTTCCCTTGGATGACGTTCCTAAGGTAGAAGTTTCTAACCAGACAGTACAGAAGGTCTTTGAATATAAATAATTAAATTGTACATAATTATGTCCACTAACTTCTAACCGAAGTTCTGTCTGCCGATGCAATTTCTGACATACACACACAAAATATTAGGAGCCTCTTCCAAGAACCTGCTGTCACCATCCCCACCATCATGGTGTTGGAAATGAAGGCTCCCAGCTCAGGATTGTTCCAGCTAGGGAAGAAGCACATTCCTAAGCATGGGGCAGGACACATAGAAAACCCTGAGTTATTATATTTGACTAAAAGAACACAAACTCAGTTTGACCAACATTGTATTTTGTTCTAGCACCATTTCAGATGAATTATGCAAGATCTCAAACACAGGCCAAGTCCAGGCAAAGAGGCTTCTAGACTCCTAACATAGACTGCTGAAGCAGAGCCAGCCCAAGATTGGTCAGTATAGGAAAGAGAACAGGCTCGTCACATTGTAAATGACCTAATTCACTAAGCTCATTGGGCAGGTCAGCAGAGAGATTACTGCAGAGAATACTGTCTTCCTGCAGGTAATAGTTCCTTGCTTTACATTCTGATGCAAACTCCTTTATTCAACTTAAACAGGAAGCCTGGGTTGCTCTAGATGCATGCTTGCCTGAACACTCATTCTCCTTCGAAGTCAGTTCAGTTTTGTTTGTTTTTATTTTCAAGACAGGGTCTCACTATATAGCTCTGGCTTACCTAGGATGGCCTTGAATTCACAGAGATACATCTGCCTGCCTCTGCCTCCCGAGTGCTGGGATTAAAGACCTGTACCACCACCTGTACCACCAGTGCC